ACAAGTACCAAATGATTTCACTCATATGTGGAGTAAAAGAACAAAGGAAAACTGAAGGAACAAAACAGCAGCAGAATCACAGAACCCAAGAATGGACTAACAGTTACCAAAGGGAAAGGGACTGGGGAGGGTGGGGGGGAAGGGAGGGATAAGGGTGGGGGAAAAGAAAGGGGCATTACGATTAGCATGGGGGGCATGGGGAAGGCTGTGCAACACAGAGAAGACAAGTAGTGATTTTACAGTATCTTACTACGCTGATGGACAGTGACTGTCAAGGAGTATGTTGGGGGGACTTAGTGAAGCGGGGAGCCTAGTAAACATAATGTACTTCATGTAATTGTAGATTAATGATACCAAAATAAAAAAGAACACAGTCCCCCAAAAAATCACAAAATGAATACAGCATATAAATAACAATAACACATCAAAAATAAATAACACATCATGATGAAGCGGGGTGCATCCCAGCCAGGTTGATTTAACATTCTAAACATTGATTCTAACATCACAAAATTAACATAATTTTCGTGTTCAAGGAAAAAGGAAAAACCATCTGATCATATTAAGTAGGTACAGAAAAAGCACTTGACAAATGCCAACCTCTATTAATGATACAAATTTTCAAAGAACTGAGAATAGAAAAGAACTTTTTGATATTGATACTATCTGTATTCCAGGGAGAAAGGAAGTAGGGGATAAAGAAAGGAAGTGGGGGAGGAGAAAGAAGGAAAGAAAAAGGAAAGAGAAGAGGAAGGAGGGAGGGAGGAACCCCAATCCTTGCCTATTACCATAGGCAAAAAGTAACTCAAAATGGATGCTAGACTCAAATATAAGAGCAAAAACTGTGAAAATCCTAGAACACATAAGAGAAAAATCTCAGTGATCCTGGGTTTGGCAAATTTGCTTGAACATGATACAAAAAGCACAAGACTACAAAAGAAAAAAATAAAACACTGGGCTTTATCAAATTTAAAAAGCATATGCACTGTATAGGATAAGCCATTAAGAGAAAATAATTGCAAAACATATACCCAACAATGGGCTTGTATCTAAAATATCCATTAAAAAAATCTTACAACTTACTAATAAAACAACCCATTTTTTTTAAAGTAGACAAAATATTTGAACAGGTATATCACCAAAAAAGGTATATAGATGGCAAATAAGCACATGGAAAGATACTTAGCTGCACAAGTCACTATGGAAATGCAGATGAAACCACCATGAGATGCCACTAATGCACCCACAAATGTGGCTAAAACTAAAAAGACTGAGCCTACAAAGCAGTGGTGAGGGTGTGGACTACTGGTATGCTCATCAATAACCACTCAGAAACTGGGAGTGGGAAGGTAATTGGTACAACCACTTTGAAAAGCAGTTTGGGAGTTTCTTCTAAAATTAAACCAATACCCACCATATGACACTGACATTCCACTCCTAAATATTTACCACAGAGAAATAAAAACACATGTCCGCACAAAGACTTGTGCACAAATAGCTGTTCATAACAGCTTTGTTTGGAAGAGCCCAAAACTGAAAATAAAGCAAACGTTCTTCAACATGTGAGCTGATTAATGAATTGCAGCATATCCACTCTTGCGACTCTTCAGTTTATATTTTCATTCCTTCCAGTACAACGCTATTTTATGTACCTGACACTTGACAATAAAGAGAAACCAAACTAAGCTAGGCCACTAGCTCATTTGCCAAAAAAAACATAAAAGACACTTACTGGCACCTGTAATCCTTCTGTTTTCTTCTTTTTCTTCGACAATCTCCTGTCCTTGAGTAGCATTTTTGCTTTAGTCCATGCTGACTCCCCTATCTCTGAGGATCTTGAAAGATCTGTAAGGGAAATGGTTTATATGAGAAAGTTTAAGATGTCATGGGGAGCCTTTTTTTTTCCCCCGAGAGGACTGAGAGAATGGGGAGAATGAGAATGCAGTCAGAAGTTTCAGGCTTTTAAAAATAATAGCAATGCATAGGATTTTTAATGCTGGCTTTAATAAAAAAGGTTTACTTCTTACTTTTAATCTTATAGATCCTCGGTTCCTCCTCCTTGTGGAATCTCAAACTATGACTCCTAATGTAGGCCCTGTCTCGGCAGAGAGGATTGATCCAACAGGACGTGTTCGGCTGGAGCCACGGTCCCACCTCGGAGGAATCACTACTCCGGGCCAGTCCTGTTGAGCTGTCAGACAGGGATCTGGCCCGGACCCGCCTCTGGCATTGTCCACTCTGATCAGAGTCACTGTTACAAGTGGAGCCCCAGCAGGATGGCCATCTTCCCTTGATGCTAAACACACCAGTTTCATCCCCTTCAGAAAATGCCCAGTTCACATATCCACCTCCAGTTTGCAGGCTCTCGGCTTGGGAAGGGAGGGAGGTCACTTTCACAGGTGCCGGTGTACCAATCAGAGTGGGTAGAACTTGCTCCCCCTGGTCTTGTCTGGCTAGTATCTGAGCAACTGACTTGTACTGCTCCTTGGGTCCAGACATGGAGCCCTGGGATTGGACAACTGGGGTGTGCCAAGACAGATGAATGGGGTCCTCCCCCTGAGTAACCTGTTCAGTGGTCAGCACATCTGTACCTGCTTCCAGAGATGGTCTGGACAGAGGCAAGTCCATTTCTGCAGAAAAAGGAACTTGCTTTAGATAAGATGGGACCAGGAGAAACTGGCCGTACTTTGGATATGTTTGCCTGTGAAGGGACACCCCAGAGGGAACTATACTATTTTCTGTCTCTTGCTCTTTCTGGTCCTCTCTTACATTTAAAGCCTCTCTCTGACTGTCTGTAATCTCAAGAAGTGGCCTCCTCTGCACTCTTGGTGGATACTGGCCTCGGGCCAGACTCCGCAGCAAAGAAGGAGGCATGCTATAATACTGGTATTTCTTCTCCCCAGGGATCTCCACGCTGCCTAGAACCTCTGCACAGATGACATTGCTCCAGCTGTGGGGAAGTTTTCTGCACGTAGAATGCTTTCTGTTGGCCAGGAGAGCCTCATCCTCTTGTAAGGTGTCAACAGCAGAAAGGATTTTTAGAGTATCCACTGTCAGGGCAGAGAGGTCCTGCAGGTGCCCCACCTGGCTGTCCAAAGACAGTAAGGAGTCCTTTATAAAAGACACCTTGTCATTCATTTCTTTCAGTTGGAAGTACATATCTGTAACCCTAATGGTGAAGGGAGAAAGAAAACCAATACACACATTAAACCAGTGGGAATTTGCCGTGCTCTCTTCTCACCCAGCTTCCATTATTAGGAGGCTCCTCAGCCCCCCTGCTTCCCAACATTGGGTGTGTCTTCTGCTTTCCTATCTTTCCAACATATACTCTCATTCCAGGTGATCTCACCTACTCCTATAATTCCCACCACTGTCACCTCAGTGAGGAAGAAGTACAAATCTACATTTCTCTCTAATATTTCAGAGCTACATTTCCAGCTTCCTGCTACTTATCAATCCAACCATTTCATGAACCAGACCATTTGTATTCATGAATATATTCATTAATTTATATGACAAGCATTTGAATATCTCCTATTGGCAAGTACGGTGTTATTTTGGTAGGAAAAGGAGATCCCAAGGAAGAAACCCGGACGACAGGAACAGAGTCAATAATCAAATATGTAATTAGGAAAAAAAAATCAATATTATAAAGAAAATATTCAAGTTTACAATTCAAACAGGATTCCCAAGTTTCAAATAAAACCCATTTTAAGAGACCTACATTTAGAGAAAGCCTGAGGAACAGTTTTAAAATTATTTTGAATACTTTAACCCAACATGATGATGTCCAGCCACTGGTTCATGCAGAAGCATCTTTAGCTATGTAAGTTTAAAAGTCAATGGCAAGGAGAGTCAAATTAAATGTAATAACTGATTCATTTAAAGAGAAAGAGAATGCAGAAAACGGTCAATACTTATCTGTATATATCTCTGTATGTGGGAGGGTTTTGTTTTGTCTCCCCAAAAACAGATAACCTGAAGTCCTAACCCCTATTACTCCCAGAATGTAACCTTATTTGGAAATATGGTCTTTATAGAGGTAATCAAGTTAAAATGAAGTTCTTAGGGTGGGCACTAAGCCAATAAGCTGGTATCCTTATAAAAAGGGGAAATTTGTACACAGAGGGAAGACAATGTGAAGATACACAGGGAGAAGATGGCCCTGTGATGGAATGATGCATCTAGAAGCCAAATCACACCAAGGATTGCCGGCAGCCACCGGAAGCTGGAAGAGGCAAGGCAGGATTCTCCCCTAGAGCCATCAGAGAAGGCACGACACTGCTGATATCTGGATTTTAGACTCTGACATCTCGAACTGTGAGACAAAATATTTCTGCTGTTTTAAAACACCCAATTTTTGGCACTTTGTTATAGTAACCACAGTAAACTAATGCAGTTATCTAAGGTCAACAAGTAATATAAGAAATGACAAAATATACCAGATTTGGTTACACAAAAATGTAACACAAAATTTTAAAACAAAAAAATTCCTTGGAACCTATTCTAACAAATATGATGAGGTGGTTGTATTCCTTAATAAATCAAAAGCTTTTACAAATTGTTGCAGAAAGAAAGAATTGAAAAGACTCCAAAGCACAATGAACAGACAATTCTCAAAAGATGGAACACAAAAGACAAGGAAACATGGTAAAATATTAGGTAAGCAGACAAATGGAAATTAAGACCACAATAAGTTCCTCTACACTGTAACAAGTTTTTTAACCCAGAAAAAAATTTTTAAAGATTAAAATGACTCAGTGGTAGCAAGAATGCAACTTTCAGACATTCCATTAGGCAATAAAGATAAAGAGACTATAATTTCACCATGTTAATGCAGGCAGATACTCTTTACATTATGAGAGAGAAAACCATGCAGCTATTAAAAATTATACTTATATTGTTGATAGTAATTTCCTTTGGCTATTTCTGGTTGTGGGAGCGAGGATATAGATATCTGTTATGTTCAGCATTATGTTCTTTTAAATTTGGTATAAAAACTTTGTAAGTAAAGAAACAATAAAAGTTAAAAATATGCCCACAAAGAACATTTAATTATTTGAAGAAATGGTTTTTGATGTACGAGGGGGTAAAAAACAAAATACATACTTCTACAATTTTAGCTAAAAATATGTAGAAGAATAAATGGGAAAAGACCAAAAGTGTTCTTTCACAATGGGCTCTGGATTATGGCACTGTTTTTGTCTTTCTTTTCTTCCCATTTCATTCTTTTACTTGGAGGAGAGTATACTTCCCAATTTCTCAGTAATGAAAACCTCTGATAAACAGGAATAAAGTAAAAAACAACAAAAGAAGGGATCTAACGAATGATATGGCTGATACGACCATATGTGGAAATAAACAATGATCCCAGTCTTATTTAGAGGCTGGAAGAGGCAGTGACTATACTATGAAGAACTGAGCACTCCGCTAGAGCAAGCACTTCCTAAAACACTTAGACATCCCTTTTCGACTCATGGATTGAGAAATCCTCCACTTCTTTCCAGGAGCCTTGCAGATAGGAATTAAAGAATAAAGAGGTGGTTTTCATGTTAGTCTATGTGGGAACTCTCTCTTTCTTACTTCTGTTATAGAATTTAACTCTGTAACTCAACAGAGGCTTAGTAAATACTTCCTGACCTTTCTGGAACCTGCAAAACTGGAACTGGCAAAGATGATGAGTGAAAGAGCATAAGACCTTATGCTATGCATATTACCTTCGAAACATGCCTAATTAGAGACTCTCCATCAGCTCACTGTTTCATCTGATTCAAAAACAGTACAGTCTGAACAGCAGTAATGGAGACTCATCAGGTCCCATTAACAGCAGTCCCAGGCAATGGATACAAGAGAAGCCAGCAGCTAGTCACAGCAGCAGGTAACATGCTACAACAGAAACCCGTTAGACTAATAACCTGCTCACCCCCAAATAGGGTCCACTTACTTTTATAGGCACTTAATTTCTAAAGCATTATGTCCCCTGAAACCTATTTTAGTTATATTCCTCAACCACCAGCTACATCAATGTAGACTTTCAGTCATTCAAGGCACAAAATAGATTCTTACAATTTTAGTTTCCCTTGCGCAAGGTTTGAGCGTGGAGGGAAGACCAGTATGGTTGTTTGTCATGGGACTTTGGACAAATTAGTTTAAAATAAGATTATAACAAATACAATTATAATTATAATGTCCACTGAGTGCTATGTGCCAGACATTTCAAGTTGCTACATTTATTTTATTTAATCCACATGAGAACCCTATAAGGTAGGCATTAATGCTGTCCTTTTCATAAAAAGAGGGCAGGTCACATGGCCACTCATCACCTGCTCAGGCAAAGAGTGTGGCTTCAAACCCAGACGGTCTGACTCCACACTCAGTGGCCTTTACCCCTGCCCTCCGGCACCTCTCAGCAGCAACTCAGGAATCTAAGCAAGTTCGGTCGAAATCCTAGAGTCCTGTGATGTGCTGAATGAATTACGTTAACCTTTCCATGCTGGAAGGTGTTCACAAATGTTCCTCAGTAAGGTTTCATGATGAAATAATGATTGAACCGGCTCAAGCTGAGTCACAACATTAATTTTTTTTTAAAGTAGCATTTCCCAGATGTAATGTACCCAAATGTGCTTACTATGGAAGAACACCTAATTAACATCTTACTCCAGAGGTAGAAAGGAAAATGCTGACTTACACTCCTTGTGTCAAAAAACAGCCAGTGTTCCAAGCAGAGAAACCAAGATATAAAACAGCCTTACTAAGTTCTCATCTTCTAGTCTCATAACTCACTCCACTCTGTGAGGATGTAGGTGACCTCTTCCTTAACAGGTAGGCAGGCATGCAAATCTCCTAATCTCCTTCCCTTTCCCTTCCCTCTTCAAACTGCTGCTCAGGTACTGCAGGAAAATATTCCTTCCTCCCTCCCGTACCTCATTTGTCAGCTCTCCAGAAGACACCTAACAGGGAAGACCATGTAAGATGAGGACTGTTGAGATAGAGCTGTCAAGAGGGAAAACTGATTTGAGGTTAAATAAGGGCTTCATACTCAAATGCTAGAGCCCTTGTAAGCATCCAAATATTTATTGGAATCTATATACCCATCAACCTTCTAATCTTTCTCTACTCAAACCCCAAGAAAATGATCAAGAGAAATAGAATGGTATATGATGATTGATGGTGTTAGATTTATCATCATTATTGTATTACTTATTTTTAAATAATACAAGTCTGTTTCTCAACCTTTCACTCTATATTCAATTGACTCATAATAATATCATCCTCTCCTAGTTTTCCTTATACTCCTCTGATGGATTCATTTTAGCCTTCTCCACGGGTTCCTCTTCCTTGGTCCATTACACACCTGTTAGCACCCCTCAAAGTTCAACCCTACGTGCCCTGAGTTTCCTCAGTCTATTTGTTTCCTGGGCATCATTGTGTCTTCTGTCACAGTTTTATATATATTTTTTACAATAGGCAGATGACTAGATGTCTAGTTCAAACTTTGCCCCAGGCTTCCGATGCCTACATTTGAAACCTACCAGACATCTCTGGATGAATTCTCCACAAAAATCTCAAGCTCAACACAATCCACAACACATTGCTCCCCCTCCCCATGTCTTCTTTCTGTGTATAATGTATAGAAGTGGGCTCTGCTCTGAGTCATCCTGAACTCCATCCTCGCCCCTTAGCTTCACATCCAGCCCCTAACTCCCCTCATGAATTTCCTTTCTAAACATGTCATTATTTATCCCCTCTGCTATTGTCTGAGTGTTCGTGTACCCCCAGAATTCATGTCAAAATCCTAGCCCCCAGAGGTGATGGTATTAGCAGGTGAGGCCTCTGGGAAGTGATCAGGTCATACTGGTGGAACCTTCCAGAAAGAGTTTATGGAAGGACCCAGAGGCTCTCACCCTTCCTGCCAGATGAGGACACGAGGAGTCTGCAACCCAGAAGAGGGCCTCACCAACCATGCTGGCACCCTGATCTCAGACTTCCAGCCTGCAGAACTCTCTGCTGCGTACAAACCACCCAGTCTCTGGCATTTCGTTGCAACAGCCCAGACTCAGAAACCCTCCTTTCAATCCCACCACCACTAGCTTGGCTGGTCCCTGGGACTCATCCCACTTCATCCATCTCCCTAGTTTCCATTCTGACTCCCCAAATCTATACTGTAAGTGAAGGAATCTACCTACAAGGCAAATCTGTCCACTTAGTTTATGGTATAAAGGAAGGGACTCTCCATGACCTTGTCCCCATTCCACAATCTGGGGAAAAGATGGAGGCGGGCATCCCATCTTATCTATTATTCCCCTTTTCTTAAGATTTGGAAGGGAATATGTATTTAAAAAGAAATTACACTCATAGTTTGGGAGCCTATAATAGTAGGTAACTTTCTCTGCACCTTTACTAAACACCAGGGCTCTGCTGTGTAGTTTATTTGTTATTTCCTCATGTAATCTCTACAACAGCTCTAAGAGGTAGGTCTTTTTGTGACCATTTTACAGATAAGAAAATAAAGGTATAGAGTAAATTTGCCCAAGAGTATATAACTAGTAAGCCGCAATAGCAGGTATTCATCCTGGCTCCATAAACTCCTATCTGGGTATATATTTCACACAACACGGAGAACCAAGCTGGCCCACAGGACTCGGTGAGCATAACTGTAAAGGAGGCAGGATGTGCAAGAGACAGAAAGGAAAAGGAAGGCTCCTGGAGCTCTGACCTAAAGATATTATTTCAGTGAAATAGAATTTCGTGGGCTCATGAATCTGATATTCAATTTTTTATTATTATAATTTGATCTGAAATTAGATCAGCTACCTAAACACATATGTACAGAAATACGGTATCAGTAGAAAAGTCCAGAAATAGGACTTACGCCGGTAGTAAACCATTTAGAAAGCTCTTAATGTGATTCAGCTTTAAATAAGGCCATATTTAAGGACTCACTATCAATCTATTTGGATATCAGAAAAATATACATATACATAATTAGGTATAACATTTGATAGGCCCATGTACATTTAAAAATTAAGGGACATTTTCAACTTTTGCCAGTTTGCTTCTAGCTACGAAAGCAATTCTGTTTTTTAATAAGCATACAATCACATGCAGTCCTCTGTATATTAACACAATGCCATGCACCCAGAGGCACCGCTACATCCACAATGGCTTTGATCCTACTACAGTTTCTGAACAGGTTCTCTTTCTCCAGCAAGCCTCCCCCTCTTCCCTCAAACCTCTGAGTGGTTTCCCTGCGCCGATCCGCAAACCCCGCAAACCCACAGGTAACCTCCCTGCTGACTCCGGGAACAGCGTTCTCGCACCCCAGCCGAATCCGGCGCGCCGGCCGGAGCCCGCCTTCCCCCAGCCTGGGGAGAGGCCGGAGCCTCTGCCAACGCCCCTTCTCGAGGACTGCCCTTCAGCAAACCGCCTCCTCCCACCAGTGCCTACAGTTTCTCCCCCGCTAGTGCATCTTTGCCAGGGCCATACACATGTGTTGTGTTGTCTCCACTTGAAACAAAAAACCAGAGAGGCTCATCATGGCCCCAGGGCCCCGCTTCTTGCCCTCGGAGTAAAACCTCTCACAAAAGCTGTCTGTAATTGCCGCCTCCGCAGCCACCTGCCCTGCCCTGGCTTCAGCGGACTGCCAGGGCCTCTGCGGCCCCCCTGCCGGTCGGGCTCCGGAAACCGCCCGCCCCCAGGGCACCCAGCCCGCTGCCTTCCACCTGCTCCAGGCCTCCCTGCCGGTGCTCCTGCCACACGCGTCCACATTTGCTGCGCCTCCTGCCAGGGGTGCCCTCCCACGGGGGATCTTTGCCTGGCCCACCTCCTCAAACTGAGGTTCCTCAGCAACTTGGCAAGCTTGGAGTGACCTTCCTGCCCCAGGCCACCCAAAGCCGTCCACCCCACCCCCCAACTCTGGCAGGCCCCTGGCCACAATCTTTCTCTATTCCCTTATACTGCTTTCTTTTTCTGAATCACTCTCTCACTGTCTGACATTAAACTGCATATTTTTTATGTGTCTCCTTGTTTATTATTTGTCCTCCACACACCCCCACCCCTCCACATACACAAATCGAAGTATAAATCATATGAAGGTAGGAATTCTTATATCCTGTTTAAGAGTGCCTAGAACATAGTAGACAATAAATATACATTGGTTACATAAATATCATTTGCTACCAGAGAAAGTTTTAGAGAACCTAAACTTTGGGGTTTTGAAAGTAGATATTTCTATTTCTTTTAGAATATGGTCTGGGTAGAAGTTTGGGGATGGAAAAAAACATATGTATCTTTTACCTTTCCGATGTTACTCGGATTCTTTCCTCACAACTACAATTCAGCCTTTCCCCCTTCTCATGGAAGTATTTTTCCACACATTGTTCTTCAAAATCATGAAGCTTTTTCAGATCCTCCTTACTCAGGTAGAGTTCTGTTGAAAGCAGTATGGCACATAAAGAGAATCATTCACCTTGAAAAGGAGTTGATGAAATGTATGAGCGCCAACACAAGTTCCACTTGTGTTGAAAATCCATAAACTGCAGCTCCTTTGAATAAAATTTGGCTGTTTTTCACACCGTATTTTTAATCTTAATGGGAAGTAGTATGCAGAAACAACTAGAAAAACCAGTCTGGGTCTTTCTTAGTTGTTCTACAAACAGGCATGAGAATTTGAAGATGGATCATGTGGAACAGATACTTTCTCTTCAATATTTTCATAGGTAAGAATGTTTGTACACAGTAAGGAAGATTTGCTATATTTATATGCATTTGGGGAAAGAATCTGGCAGTCTTTTCTTTCCCCCTGCCAACTGTTTAATCTATCAAAATGACAATGAGTAACCTATAGGTTAAAATCAAGTTTAGAGGAAATAAAAATCTGTTGAAATTAATCCAGGAAGTGTAAGAAGGTTTTACCTGGTTACGCGGAGTCTGTATATACTAAGTCCTTTTATTGAAAAAAAGAGACATTTTTCCAGTCAACAGGCGAGGCTAACCACCTTCCTTGACCTAATTATAAATAACTCATTAAAAGACACATCACTTCATAATATTATGAACATAATGCAATTCTATGTCAAACTTCAGTGATAATAGTCAATCTACCATTCTGGCCCTCATTTTGATCTAACAGAAAACTACATCAGCATTTGAGCAAGTTTCCAATACTTGAAAAAATATATAAATGATGTTTCAAAAAGGGCAAAATTGGAACATTTTCTTCAGTCACCTAATGTGATGGGGAAAAAGAATCTTTAGAATTACCCAAATTTATTTTAAAAATTCAAATATTCTATTATTTCCCCCAAAAAATGAGAGGCGAAAATATTAACTTTAAATTGAAAAACATGTTTAATGGAAAAGAATATTCGGCCATAAAATATGTTCACAACTCAAGTGCACAACACTATCTGAATTTACGGGGTGGAAGAGTCTTTGAGATACTAAAAAAAAATCCAGTATCCCCACACCCGACTCCAAATATGAAAGGATCTCTTATGAGCAAGAAACTTTACAATTATGATGATTTGAAACTTTTGGATTCCTGAGAGTAAACAACCCGACGCGCAATTCCAGGGACTGGCGCAGCTTGTAGCATGTGGAGTGTTCTTGTAACTGTCCACCAGGTGGCACTGCTGCCCCGTATGCAAACATCTTGATTCTCATGACAGTGGGTTGGAAGCAATCTCACAAAAATTCAGGAATTTTCCAGAACTCAGGGTGAACACACCTTTACCCATCAGAAAATTTACTTGAATTTTATATCAGAACCGTCCTGAAAGCACAGATTAAAGTGAGCCCAGGAAAGGATCTTTAGTATGGTGCTAGGACACGTGGACAAATCCCAGATAATTCCAGGATCTCTCAAGGGGTTCACACTCTACTATTACATTGCAGTGGTTCTGCAGCCGACCTCTGGGATGGCACCCTATCAGAAAGCTAAAAATTAGTGTAGTTATACACCTTTACATTAACTTCAGTTGGGCTCTGACTTCCTTGTAATGGCTGACTCTCTTGTAGGGAAAAAAATGGAAAAGAAATAAAAATCTCCAAAGTGACTCAAGAGGAGAAAAATATTTCACAGAGCCACTACCAGGAAGAGCAAAAGCATATCACCCTATCAACCTTGTAATAACACCTGCCTAACTAGCTTGTGATATATACATACTAAGGGCCCACAGAAATGTATAGATAGCCCACAATCCCTTATCTGAAACACCTGGAACCAGGTATGTTTTAAAATTCTGAATTCTTCTTTTCTGGTTTCAGAAAGGTAATATAGTGTGCATGTGTGATAAAAATGGAGTAAAATCTCTAGCTGGGGGAAAGGCAGTACCCTGAAATCAAACACACTATTTGCGCAGCAAAATTGATGAATATTCATGCTACAAGGGATAAAGAGAATAAATGGCTTCACATTGGTTCCATCAGCCTCCTCAGTCCAAGTATGTCTTTTCTCCAAATCAAGAAGAAAAAGGCTTTCCATTTTCAGAGGTATTTTGGAGTTAGGAACTGAGATAAATAAAGCATTGTGTATTCATGCCACCCATTTCCTGTCTGTCTAGGAATGATCTAGAAATGGGCCTAGTACCAAATGTGGAATTGCTTTAGAAGAGCGGCAGAAGACCTCTCTGACTGCTCTGTACCAGACATCCTGATGGCTTCCTAGGTAAGTGGAGAAAGCACAGGTTTTCAGGTGACATAAAGCCTTTACACATTCAAACAGAGATTCTGTTCCTACCCATTCTGTTCTTCCAAAGTATCAGTTAATCTTGGCAAAAGTATGACAATCACATAATGAGATCAATGTGTTGACTTAGATGATACTTTTGCCAGGACCTTCTATCCTGTGCCTCGAATGTGATTGAAATGAGTTGCTCTAGTGTCTCCAGTCTTTACTCTTTTCCTCCTATCCCGCCAATGAAAACTTACTTAGTCCAACGTCGCCCTCTTCTTGGTCATTTGGAGCTTGACGATGGCAAAGACGGCGAAGGAGGAGACAAACGTGACTCAGCAGGATCAAAGGTGGGGGCAGCCATGGCTTCTCGTGGTAAGTCATGATGTAGCGATAACGATTGTATTTCCATAGTTTATTTGAAATGGATTTCATATCTAAGTACACATTACTGTAAGGTATAATAAAAGAGGGACAATGCTTTAATCCAGAATCCTGAAACAGAACAGTTAGATTCTTTATTTTCCAACTTTTATGATTGGTTCACCTGACATTACCAGCAGTTAGCCAACAAAAATATCCACAGTATTTATGATCCTTCTTCCACCAAACAAAATACATTAATCACCTTCTACAATAAAATATGCTGATCAGAATAATAAGTAAAAGAGAGAGATTACAATCAGAGAGGAGAAAGTGCCAGCATTTTTAAATGCAATGAGCAGAAACTGCCCTCTGGAACTTAACCCTGTTTTTTGTTCACCATCTCTTCTCACAGAGAAGCTCTTCTCAGTCCATAGTTCATCTTTCATGGTAAGCAGCTTTAATGTTTCTCTGTATCATCAACCTTATGAAGAGATTCTCCTAATGTCAAATGTGAGAAGTGCTAGAATAATCGTAGCTAAAACAAAAGAATATTGATAAAGAAGAGATAGAGAGGAATCAATTCGTCCTAAAATAAACCAATATGCAGAGCTTCTACTCAGAAACTACATAAATTATTTCAATTAGTTTTAAAATGACAGCACCCCCTGATTGGAAGGCCACCTTGGATTGTCCCTTTAATTACATCAATGTTGATATGCAGATAGGACAGTGAATACCGATACTATAGAATCTGTGATGGAGTTGTGGTGGGAGGTACATTTACTCTTCAGTAACATCATCCCTCACTACTTAACTTTAAGTCTGTAACATGATATGGGGGTGGTGGGGAGGGGAGGAGGGCACAGTGGAATGTCCGTCTTCATATTTTGTTTAGACTAACATAAAATTTAGTTATTTTTAAAGAAAGATGACAGAGTAGTACTTGAGTAGGGCAGCCAAACTTAGCAAAGGAAAACGCAGAACCCTAAAATCTGAGCAATGATAAAGGGAAGGACCAGAACTATCCTGGAGAAAGTCAGCTTAGGATAAGAGATTGGCACGAGAAGCGGGGTGGGGGGAAGTACAGGGGTGGCAGGGGTGGAGAAAGTGAAGGTTCCTGTGGCCAGGGTTCTCACCTGAACCTGGTTAGCTTGCTCATTACACACGTGTGGGCAATACATTGTTTTTGACTTTGTATAAAGCTCCGCCCAGTGCTCTGGGCGACATGGCTGCACGGCTGCAGGAGAGCAGAGGCCGGAGTGGTGGCAGCGTCGAGGACTGAGGTGGCTGAGCGGGCAGAGAGGCCCAGAGGCAGAGCCCAGCTTGCTGTATGTGCTCTGAGTGGACAGGATTCTAGTGATTGACCTGCCACTGTGGGAAGAAAGTTGGGTATAAACCCTTTCACCCCAAGAACATTCCACTGACATTTTTCGGTCTCATTGAATCCACAGTGAACTTGTGTGGGTCTGAAACTTACTGGCAAGAATGGGGGGGTTATTCACAGATTCGATAAAGTAGGTGATGGAAACAGAAAACTGGGTTTTAACAGTAGTTCCCAAAATGTGGTTGGTCACTGAGCCAGCAGTATTAGCATCGCCTGAGAATGTGTCAGAAATGCAAATTCTTGGGCCCTAGCCCAGAATTACCAGGTTAGATGCTCTGGCAGGGCCATTACAGCAATCTGTGCCTCAGCAAGCCCGCCAGGAGATTCTTGTGCACCGTCACGGCTGAGAACCACCAAGATTCAGTGTTGTCACTCCAAGTGTGACTACACCTGTCCACGAGCAGGTGGCGATCTTCACAGTGTTTTTCAGGTTCTTTGTAATCATTGGTGCAGAGACTCCAGAAAGACTCCCAAACAGGTAGTTAAAACAGGGCTTCTCAGCTTGTTTGGTCCTCAGTACATTCACCTCTCAAGTGAGAAGTTTGGCCTATATGGGAATTTCTCAACCTCTCTTGTGACACCTTCCATTTTTGAGAAACAAAAATTTCATGCCCACTCTTAATAATATTTAAACATCAAAAAGAAAATCCCTATAATAATACCAGTAAATGTTATAAGGCCATAAAATGGTGAGGCTAAAAGAGATGATAGCTATCATATAATCCTGTAACAAGCAGAAAGGTATATCTTCCCCATATATATTCAATGTCACTTTTTTTAAGTATTCATATGTTCTCTTTTTATCAAGTATTTATATCTTCTCTTTCTACTTAGATTCCATGAGTTGACATATTCAATGTCACTTTTTTTTAAGTATTCATATCTTGTCTTTCTACTTAGATGCCATGAATTGATTTCTCTTTTCTTGTCTTTCTCTCTTCAGTGAGATAATCAATGAATAAAATACCTAGTACAATACCTGTCATAAAGCAGGCATTCAGAAAAGACTAGTTTGTTTCCATCACTTCACTTGGTTTCTTTCATGTGTTAAACAAATCTGTGGCAAGCACTCTTCTTGGTGCTTGGGATAAATGCATAGGTGAAAAAGAAAAAAAAGCTATCTTTTCCTTGTGGCACTTATATTCCACTAGAGGAGAGATAAATAGAAAAAAACATAAATATAAATAATTACGTATTTTGTAAATATAAGTCGGTATAAAGAAAGAAGAGTAAGGGGCACCGGGCATGCCAAGGAGATAGCTGTGCTTTTAAATATCATCCTTAGGTTACGCCTATTTAAAGAGGATATTTGAGCAGAAATTGAAGGAGGTGAGGGAATGGGCCACAGTGATATGTGGGGGAGGAGCATTTCCTGCAGAGGGAACAGCAACCGCAAAAGCTCTTGTGTTGGTTGAAAAACTATGAGGGGCCGATATGGCTGGAGAAGAAAGGGGAAGAGCAGCGTGATGTGTGATCTGAGATGCAGCAGGGAAGCCAGAACACATGGGGCCCTGTAGGGCAGTGAAGGAACTTTGACATTGACCCAGAGGGAAATGGGGACCCATCAAGGGTTGGAGAGAGTGGTGACATCATCTGCCATATGTTTGTAAAGAGTCGCTAGGGCTACTGTGTTGAGAACAGAATACAGGGGCCGAAGATATTAACAGAAATAGATTAAAAAGACTGTGGGGTAGCAGTGGTGTGGTGATAGGTGGTTAGATGGATAATCTATTTGAAGATAGAGTCAACAAGGGTTCCTGACAGTTCGGAGGGAGAGATACAAGAGGCATTAAGAATGACTCCAAGGTTTCTGAACTGAACAACAGGGAACATGGAGCTTTGACAAACACTTGTCTTCTCCACAGAGTTGGCAAAGACTACAAGTAGAATAAGTGTATGTTGGGAAAGAGGGGTGATAAGAGTCTGGACATTTCAGATGTTAGAATTCTATTATATATCTGACTGGTGGTGGAAGGGGGCAGTTGGAGCCCCAGGACCGGTGGACTGGAGGTAAGAAGTGGAACTCGTCAGCATGTACAGGAACACTGACAAAGGTCACCAAAGCATAAATAAGAGATACACACGGTCTGGGCCCAGGGACGGTCCAGGATTAAAAGGTTGAAGATGTGGAGATGATCCAGGAAAGGAGGCCAAGGATAAATGAAGAGTGAGACAGAAGAAAACAGAATGAGATATGCTGGGAGGCAAGTGGAAAAAGGACATCAAGAACTGCTAGTCCTCCTTTCAGCCCATTAGTCATTCTCTTTTCCATGCCCCTACCTTACTGCTGTATTACAACGCACGATCTCCTTGTTCTACTTTTATTACACTCTCCCCATGTATTTTTCCCTTCGCATGCTCTGCCCCTTTCCTACGGGCAGTCTCATGTCTGCACTTTAAAACCATCATAATAAAACATGGAACACACAAAAACCAAAGGTTACATACCCCAAATCCATGTGATCCTACTCAAAATACCTGCCCCCAGCATGGCTTAAATGAAATAACCATATTTAAGTAAAATGACCTACTTGAAGAAAGCGATCAGCAGGTTCACCATGATGATGTACTGCACGAAGAGGTAGACGGCTTGCAGGAACGGAGTGAGGAAGGAGCCGGGAGGGCAAGACGGCTGGCTCGAACAGACTGCAGACAGAGAATTTAAACTATGAAAGATAAAATGAATCACTGCCCGGTGACTCTACACAAATATTTAGCACATTGACTTAACGGAGTACCATGCATTTTTGACCCAGGTGATTATTTTCCAGATTTTTTTTTACTCTGAGTAGGTACAAAGGTTTACTTTTTGCATGATAGTGAAAAGGCCCTCCATACCATCTATGTCGGAAGCATAGACTTCTCCATAAATCATCCAGTACGGCTCAAACACGATATCTCGAGCCAGCCTCCATGATGGAGGCTCCTTTGGAGCAAGGATGGCCTTGCGCGCCACCCCGAAGCTCAGCAGCACGATGGCCATCATGACGACAATGTAGAACATGTTTCCTGTCTGCAGAAGAGCAGAGCACCACCAGGATTTTACCACAGACTTGAAATTTAAAACAAATCTAACATGAGCAGCCATCTTAACTACACCTGCCAATAAGAAGACTGACTGTCTTAGTCACTGGCCAAAATGCCCTCATCCATTAATAGCTGGGTTTCCTTTGGCTAAACCATTGTTTTCTCTGCAAAGTACATGTTCCATGTCAATGTGGTGTACGGAAAAATAAAATGTGCTAGGGGTAAAAAAATCTGTGCTTTTCTTTCTTTAAGAAGTACTGAAATGTGAACAGCTTTTGATTAGCTAATATCCAAATGTCCAGCAATTGGATCAGAGGTTAGGAAAAGGAAGAAAAATAGTGCGTGTTTAAATTAGTCAAATGGCTCCTAATTCCCAGGATTATCTTCAGGAATTGATTAGAGTCTGAGAAATTGACTAGGTTAGTTTCATTTCACTTACTAAATGTACATCAATTCAACCCATTTGTTCACTGTGGCAGAGAGAATTATTTCATGAGTATTCCAAGAGCTTCTCGGCATTTCTTAGCCTCCCTTCCATGAGGCTGGCACTGGTTGATCTACTCTAGCTTGTGGCTTGTGAAGTGATAGTGACTTACGTCACTTCCTGTCCAGAGCCCTTAAAAGCCATTAAACTCTCTCCCATTCCCTGCCATCAAAAACCTTGGAAGCCTCGTGTTGACGTGGCTCTGTCACAAGATGGAAGGATTCTGGATCCCGGAGTCACAGGGTAGAGGACAGCAACCTTGAGCGTTCATCGAACTTAACATGAGAGAGAAATAAACTTGTTCTAAGTCACTGAGATTTATTAATTACCTCACCATAGCCTATCTGATAAATATCAGCGTCGCCAAGACCAGAGGAAGCACTGCTGCTCTGAAAGCGTGAAGAAAGGAATCTGCCTCCCTCTTCCATTCTCACCCTCCCTTCTCAAGAACTTGTTCTTGCCCTGCCAGCAAGTGTTCCAGAAGGAAAAGCCAAAGACGATCGGCAGGTACTGTCCCTCCTAGAGGGTGGGCCTTAGGTCCTCATGCAAAGCCGGTTGTTTGTCACCTAAGCACAGCAAGCTTAGATGACAGAAAAGCCAGGGGGTCCAGATTTGAATCCTAATTCCCCTACACCCTTGGGAAATTTACTCAACCTCCATCTCTTTTATGTAAAATGTGGATAATAAGAGTACCTCTCTCATAAAGTTATTCTGAAGAGTAAATGAGTTAATATATACGAAGTACTTAGAACAGTGTGTGGCCCACAGTAAGCATGAATTAAGAGTTGGCTGGGGGTGGGCAGATAAAAAGATAAATTGGTATTTTAGCACATGATACTACTGGTGGTAGCCTCACACAGATCTGGCTCTCAGGTATTACTCATTTCATTCAATCATATCATCTGGCCCTAATCAAAAAGGCAAGCTGAGTATTCTACTCAACTCTCCAATATGCAATCCAAGGACATTTGTTAAATGTGAGTTTGTGGTTGTAAGGAGAGCAGTGATAAAATAATCTTGCTGTCTGTGCTTCTATAAATAATTCCAAACGCTAAATGACTGGATAGGAACCATGACATCAGGCAGAACCATTAAAAAGGCCATGGAAATAAACAAATAGACTGTACTCACCATTTTTGCAATCATGGTCACATACGGACCTGCATACTGATTCACAGCAAAGAAGTCCAGGAGCCTTGAGAACCAGAATATGATGTCTATGCAATATATTAGTCTTCCCGCTGTGTGGAAAGGAGGGTCACCCCACCGGAGGCCAAAACCAACTGAAAACAGGCCAATGGCCACAGTTTCTATTAGGTTCCAGTACTCACTAATCCATAACTTCACTTTTTGAGTGAACTTTCCAGGTTCTGAAATACAGACCTAAAAGAAGAAAGAAAGGAGGCTTAAAGAACACAGTGTAAGGACCTCATCAATATGGTCTTCAACATAGCAACTGCTCCTTTAGAAAGTAGTATATGAATCCTGCCAAACCAGAGGTCCCAAGAAGATTTTGGAGATTTATTAAGTTATCCTCGGGTAGTGAAATGTTTAAGCACTTCTATAAACATGTTTTAATGTCACTGTTAGTGTTAGCCAGCTATCTGAAAATTCAACCAGAAGTTGTTTTTTTTAATGGTACTTTTTCTAGCTTTAACTAACCATAAGCTAACAAAAGGGAATGCCAAGACATTTAAAACTCAGTATTGCAGAGAATCTATACAGCCACAACTGCACTTCCTGAGAGACAGTCAAGTGTAAAGGAGACTGGTTTGAAATAAAGGAATCCTGTCCTTGAGCCCTGCTACTGCTATTTAGTGAGTTGTTGACAAATTACTAAGAATGTCATAGTAGAACTAACAATTTTAAGAAATTACCCCCTGCAACCAACTATCAGACAAATGGAAATGTAAAATAGTAAGCCTATTTTCCCTGAAGCATAAAATACAGTGGAATTCAGATAACATTTTTGTCCTGAATTGTTTTGTATCATCTATAAAGTCCACAACAGTAACTAGCAGGTAATATAGGTATAATTACTAATATGTTTACTTAGCATATAATGTTGGTCATATTAGCTCTAGAACAAAACAAATGTATGTAAATGCAAAGATACAGAGATACATATGCACTGATATCTAAAATCCTAAGTCATAACTGTATGTGATTGTAGTTATAACTGTATGAATAAAAATTTTTATTTTAAGTGACTCATTGCAAACTAAAAATGAAAATTTTGTTCTGATATGTCTCTTGGACTACTTGCTTCAGAGAGATTTTTTAAAAGTGTTTTCACTTCACTTTTCAAAGGTGTTTAGTAGGATAATTCAAAAGCTATAAGTGAATTATTTGCATATTGCACAACTTCAGCTATGTGTGTGCCACAATGTGAGATGAAGCTGATAACATGCAAGTAATGCTAGGCTATAAAAATCAATCTTACAAAAACCAAAAACACCTTTAGAAAATCAAACAGATGAAGGGTCTAATGATAATTAGATAACATAACTCTAGGACCGATAAATACACTAAGATGCCTTTAAAAATAACTGCAACCAGTGGAAAGCATTTAGCAAGTAAAGGTTTGAGATCAGAGACTTCCCTCTAAGGACCTGCATGCCAATCAGGATCAGCAAATGAGGTGCCTGTCACACCACCACCTTTAACCTGTCATCTGTTTTCGTCACCACATCCCAGGACACCTCTAGCAGGGTGTGTAAAAACCAAAGGGAGAAGGGAGAACTTACCTCCCTGACTTTCTCGATGGCGTTGGTGAAGATGTAAATGACAACGAGCCACTCTTGCACACTGGGCTGGGGCTGCATCTCCACCAGCACAGTGTAAGTGAACAGCATGAGGAATGCCAGGTATGCCACCTGTGAGGGGGACACACATTCCCAGGATATGGGACATGAGTGAGAGTCACAATGCAGCATGCCTGGACACGAACCGAGCCAAGTGGAGAAACACACATTAGCTTCAGTGTGATAACAGGAAAAAATAACCAGGACCACCCTCTGATGATTGATGGCCTGTTGCCCAGGAAAGCACTAGAATCCACAGTTTTCTATTCAAAGACTTAGTGGAAAGAAGGAAGACCACTGCTCTCCAATACACAGAAGGGAGCACTGTCTCATCTCGTCGGCTGACCAGAACGTCCAAACCCTGCACACTCCAGCGTGGACACCGTCAGGCTAACAGCGAGCCACACCCCTTCCTCCCCATCTGAGCACAGAAAACATGTGTTCCAGGTACACCAAATGAGCTGTGTCAGTAGGTGCCTATTTTCAAATATAATAAATTGTGACATTTACTACTGTTAGAGGTTTTATTTTATGCTGATTAAAATATTCTGGTTAGTGGAACAGTATTGTCCAATTGTGAGTCCATGTAATCAAAGACTGTTGACATTTTTATCATCAGTACTCAGCCCTCAGCCTGACATATGGCAGACATTCAAGAAATTTATGTTTTATTACTAATTGTATATACTAAACCTAGATTTCCAGTCTCTTCAAAGAATTAAGATACAATAAATACACACACATATATATATATGGTGATTATTTGCTTTGTAATCTTACCTAACATTATATCTTCTTAAGATATATTCCCAGAAGTAGACTCTCTGGGCATAGACATTTAAAGCTGTGACATGCATTACTAAGTTACCCACTACAAAGACTTTACCCATTTCCATGATCACTAAAAATGCATGAGATCATGCGGTCCTTTAAAATAGCTTCAGAGACAGTGCACTGTGTTAGCTGATGGATGCTTGTATTAGATTCCCCTCTCTCCTATCTTTTTGAGCTCTACCTAAGTTTGATACATCTTCTTCTAAGCTCAGTCCTATATAGAGAATGGCTGAAGTCACTTCTCACTATACAGTAGTGATGATACATACACTAGGTGGCATTTCAGGAGGCATAGTGGGTATGACTGCCTATGAGTTAAAGAGCTTAGTAGAGAAGCATATATGAAAGTCCAAGTAGATTCCATTAATTCTAAACTTCTCTAGATCTCAAAGTCTGAGTATGTTTGATGACCCCTCAGGGACATAATTTAGATAAATTTGTTCTATACAGTCATCATTTTAAAAAATATTTTTGTTATCAGTTTCATGGTGCCTAGACATTAAAATACTGTAGATGTTGGTGGTATTGCTTCTGATTCTTTTTGTTTCTTTCCAGTTCTTAAAGATGCAAAGATGTGTTTCCATTTTTGCTTTTTCATCATAATATTTCTAACAAGACATTGCTTCAATAAAGCACACTCGCCACCACCCAGCAGTGTGTCAGCTGAAGCTAAAATGCCTGGGCTCACTGCTAACACCAGTCACTGCGATGGGCAGATCTGGTGAGCTACTTTGTTCTATTTTTCAGCTATATTTGTTGTTGTTCTATTTGCTTAACTTTGTTCCTGTTTCTAAATGTTTGTAAGCTGGAAATTTCTAAGGAAAGAAATACTTGAATACTCTTTCCCAGTGATGTAACTATAGTTAAAATTCTCTTGCAGCTACTACCAGTCTCTGGTGTATTTTGTTCTATATTCACAAAAATGGTAAAACCTCATCATTTGAAGGGAGATTTGACTTTTGGAAATGGATAAAAGTCATTCAGAGTTATGTACTTACTCAATAAGTATATGAAATAAGTGTGTGGTTGGACAAGTACAATTTATATACTTGAATATAACACATTTAGATAAATATCTTTTTATAATCACACATTACATGCTTTGGAAATACACAGTCTTGGCCATGGGCAATTTAAGTATAGGTAAGAATTAGAAAATAAATGCTACTAAGTAAATGTGAAAAGCCATCAGTAAGTTAAAGTCCAGTTCATGCTTTCTCTGTATCACTACATTCATAATAGATGTAGTATTTGTTCCTATAATTCAACTTCTAAAACTGTTATTGTCTTCTATACACTTATAAGAATGTTGCATTTTTAATCAATTCAGCCGCTGCTTCTTTTGCCCAAGATGAGAAAAGAATCCACACCCACCATCACTTAATTCTACACCACTGTTGTTAACTTTATCATTCCACGTTTCCAGTGCTCAGTCCCAGATGTACTAAAGAGAAGCACTTAAGAAGAAAATGCTTGTTTTTTCCCTCCCAAAGGAGAGATCTCTAACCTTTCCTCTCTTCCCTTCAATTTTCTTTCCTACCTCCTTTGTCATTCCCCCTTTTTTTAAATTTCCCTTCTACATTCTGTTACAAGTTGACAAACCAGGCATATCCTTAAAACCATTATCATTAGCTATTAACCATCATGAAGACTGTATATAATTTTTGCAATGAAACTAACCGTATAAAACCAAAACTTGACAATCGGAGCATTGTAGAACTCATAGACTTTTCTGGTCCATGGAAGGCTTTGGGGACCACTGTTTATGTCAAAGTGCTGATTTTCATCTAGTTTCTCATCAGGGGGTCTTTCCAAATCACAGTCTTTCTGAAAAAATAAACAAATAATAATTTATTGTGAGGAGCTTAACTAAAATATTAACATTTAAAATATTCAAATTAATATAATACATATATTTGAAATTAATTGGGCACCCACCTGCCAAATAATAATCTTAGTCTCAAAAGAAAAGCTACATGCATTGCATAAATCTTTGACTAAGTTAAGGAGCTCAGGGTATTTCTGAGATGCAAGCTAAGTCTCCAATAATCAAACCTAGTCAAACTAAGCATAGTTCCAAGGATTTAAAAACGGTCCCTGTTCCTGTTCATTTAATCTCCATTATCAGTGTTTTGGAATTTAAGGATATTCATAAAATAAATCCCACTGAATTCAATAACAGATAATATAATTATTTCTGTAATAGAAGAAGACAGAACAGACACGCATCAACGATGCATTCTTCCCAGTTCATAGGAAAGTCAGGCCCAGATTTAGGATTCCGGCTTTGATAGCGTCTCCACTCATTTACAGCAAAAGCACTTTACCTGAGATTGATGGGCTCTCTGAGCTTCCGGGATTCCTTGACACTCCTGCAACTACAGGCAAGTATTTGTGACGTACAGGCTTTTTTCTAGGGAAAGCATCAAATCTTTGACTAGTTTCCCAGTAGTTCCGTGTCCACCCCAAGGGGCTGAGCCTTGTAGGTGATAAGGATTGAGTATCTGTGTGGCAGAGTGGTGGTTGCATGGATCTGATTCCAAGCGTGTCCACAGAGAAGAGTCTTTAAAAAGAGGGGAAAACAAGAACTGGAAAGAAAAGAAAACAGCACTTGGAGCCTGGCTGCCTTTGAGAGGAGGGGACTTAGGGACGGCGAAGGAGGGGCCAAGGACATTCCTACTTATGGTTCTCATTTTTATACCGGAAATGCATTCCTTTTTTGAATTCTGAAAATATTAAGTGAAAAGAAAGAAATGCTCTCTGATGCCTCTCAGCCTTGGATGTTTCTTCAACCTATCCACAAATGCTCTCTCTCTAGAGTCAGACCTGCAGGATTAGGAAGATTTTTCACGTGAAGGAATAGTCCATATAATGCAGGAGGTGATTTTTGAGGCCTCAGGCATCTCGATGGGTTATCTCAGAGCTTGTTTCATCATCGCTCTGTTATGCACATCACTTCAGGCAGTAGCGTTGGGGTTGTGACCTAACAGTGTAGGAACTGACCGGGTTCCTAACCGGTTCCAACCAGCCTAGAGTTAAAATGGCTTAGAACCGTTAGAAAAGGCATCACTTACCTGTGATTTTAATGACATCAGTACTATTTCAGAAAGACCTTGGAAAACAATTTTAGTAATGACATTGTTATTAAATAACTTCTCTTGTTATTTTTCCTAGGAGTGTTTCAGTAGATCTTAACCAGTCTCCCCTCTCCCTCTCTCTCTCTCTCTAACAGGAATCTCATACCAACAGACAGAGGATAAAACTGTAACTACAACAATCAACTCTACCACAATTCATGCCTATTTTCCATCACATTACTATCATCTTTCCCACTTAATGATGCTCTGATAAAATAGATTACTGTTCAATTTTTTAAAATATTTTTTATTGTGATTTATCAATATGTCTAAGACGAAGCTCATTTTTCCCCTTCCAAACCCCCTCCTTTTCTAATCATCTTTGTGTACCTTCAAGAGGGCCTTGTCCCGACCATCAACCTGTCATATTTGCTGTCTCCCTCTCATCCATGCCCCATGTTCAAACGTTTTTGGGCTCTTCCCTTAAAATTTGTATTTTCCTCTCTATGCCCATTGCTACCAAACCTGGCTAAAGCATTTATTATTTCTTACCTGGATGGTTACACTAGCCTATGCTCTCCCTGCTTCCAGCCTGTCTTCTTGCTTTATTATTCTATACAAAGGAGGCAGAATAATTTTCCTAATGTCAGAGCACCTTGCTACTCTGATCGTATACATTCACTGGCTCTCCTTTACTGATGGTATAAAAACCATATTCCTTCATAGGATATACAAGAGTCTCCATGATTTAGCCTCAGATCTACTTTCCCAGCCATACCTGCAAATATTTCCTCCTTGTCCCATACCCACTATAATCTGGACTCTAGCCAAGCCAGACAACTTCCAATGCTTGACATATGACTTGCATTTCCTGCTTCTGTTCCCTTACTTAACCATCTTTCTCCACTGAAATGCTACTTCCCCTCTCTACATCCTCAAGTCACAACTTAATCATGAAGTGGCCACCAATCCCTAAACCTCACCTACTGACTCCACATGAGAGGAGTCTTCTCCTAAATATTCTCCATTCTGCCATCTTGCTATGAGTTGTTCCCAAGAAAGCTCATGTAACCAACAGTCATGCTTTCAAGGGCTTAGCAGCTAGACAGATTTAAATTTCTCATGGCAAAATGATTTTGCATGCAGAAACTTCAATAAGGAGGTTTATAAAAGCTTATTGAGCAGATACAGTATTTAATTCCACACAGCTTCAGCTCCAGAATAATAGCCTTCCTTCCCCAATGAGCAGCAGTCCTTTCATTACATTCATTATCACCCGCTGTCACCACAAAGGCAGAGCACAAAGACACTTTAAAAAAGGGGCTGTGTTTCACCAGCCTTCAGTTTTATCCCAAAACACATAATCAAGCATATTATCCTTAATTAGCTTTATAAAATCTCATGTCCCACCAGATGCTGCCTCTACCCCCACTCTCTACTTAGAAAAATTCTAAACACAAAGCAGATAATCAAAAACTATTGCTTTAGTTAAATTCAAGGCAAAAAGCATTGGTACTATGAATAACATTCATAGCAGAACAGATTCCAATTCATAGCAGAACAGATTTTAAATACTTTTCCAGTAAGTGCTTTAAGTTGAATAATGGTAAGGCATCATGGATATTCTGTTTGCTTATATGCTCCACGGTTTCAGAGGCCACATCTAGCTTAGTTAATGCGGTGTCCCGAGAACATCTTAACTTATCTGGCACATGGAATGTGGCCACTAACTAGTCATTGAATTAGTCAACTGATAAGGCCATGTCCAGACCATCTAGGTGAGCAGTTGCTGTAAACAGGACCACTATATTACAGACAAAATTTAATTTTTCAGGGAACTGTAAGAACTCTTTTTTTTTTTTTAATGTTAAGAGCACCGTTAATTGCCATTCAAGGAAGGAGTTCTTTCTCTAAGAGTCTCTCCTTTAAGAAAGACTATTTAGTGGGATGCTCCAGCTATCTACAATGAATTAACTGTTCTTGAAAGCTTATCTTTCTACTAAAGCTATAAGATCCAAAAGTAAAGTTACATCCAGCTACAAAGTACAATTTGCTACCAACTGCCAACATATTTACATATTTGTTTATATACAGACAGATAGATGATTAGACTGCTAGATAGATAGATAGATAGATATAGATAGATAGGCAGCTCTCTCCATTTCTCACTTCAATAAGCTAACTAAACTTAATGTGAATATCTGAATAAGCACAAAGTCAAACAGAATGTCTCACACACAACTACATCAATCTATTTCTAAAGGGGTTAGGTCAACACCTAAATCTCTTCTCTTTCCTTAAAATAATTTGAAATAATCTAAACTTAATAACCATGTCATCTAGTTAATACAATCACAATTATGGCAACTTGACTAGCCTAGCTTTGCAATAAAGGTCTCACACATTCTACAAAAGTAAGAATGTTCCTGCCACCTTGTATTCTGAGAACCCCAGATAGAAATCAGGCTTAGGAAAAGTAAGGAGGGAAGAAGGGTGGTGGGGGGAGAGGAGAGGAATACAATACCCGCCCAAACAGATGTGATAGTCAAAATATTTAAAAACTGATCCAAAAGTGGCAATAACCAATCCAAATGGATGTTCAACCAATCACAAGAGAAGCCATCCATATGAACTAATTATAATTATTTTTCATGTGGTATTTATTTATGTTTAAAAATATTATAACAAATACCTCACAAGTGCAAAAGCACATCGGACAAGATGCTAGCTAACGATGCTTCATTAATGTGTTAGTACCAGAGATGTTCACTACACCTCACGATAATACCTTTATAAGCAATGATCCAATTTGAGACATAGGAAGCAAGCAGTATAGGCACAGACAGCATACTGGAGACTCTACAGCCAAGACAGGTTGCAAGAGAATTAGCTCAAATTTTCCATGAGGGAGTTGACATCTGGGAGCTCAAGTAAAACTATTCAGCCACTGGATATAACAAATGAAAAAGTTTCTGGAGTGGAACAATAAAGATCAATGCAAATTCTAAACTTGCATCTTTACAAATGAAGATTTTTAGGGATATGAGACTGTCCCCATTGTACTTTTAGAGAAAAAGTAAATCTGTTTATTCCACTAGTCACAAAGGAAAATGAAAACTTAAGCAGTTGTCAAGATATAATAAAGTGTTTGATTTTGGCTCTGAGGCAGAAACGGGATATTTTGCTTAACCATCTATGCAGGTTAATTAGATTTACCACGCATGCTATACCTAACATACTATAATATGTTAATATTGTTAAATAACTTGTAAACAAATAAACTTTGCATTTGTGTGATGTCAGTACCATGACAACTCAGTCCACCATGATCCTGCACTGACCGTACAAGCACTTTCCTTGGCACTGCTGGAGTTCTGGTCACCATAATACCACGCAAACTGGAAGTCCTGGGACTGCGGAACATGCGACATCTCTGCTTTGCTTTTAAATTCCAATGTCAAAATGGTGGGTGGTAAAAGAATACTTACAATGACCTATAAAAGAAAACAAAGCAAAGTAAGTAGTAGGAGCTACGTGTGTGAGTCAAATAACAAAATGAAGATTTTATCATCTATAAAATGTCAGACCTATCCCTAATTCAGTTGCTACCCTGAGTCTGTACATACTTTTCGACTGAACAATTTCAATTCTAGAAAATGTCTCCCTCGGAAATACTCGTGAATACAACTGGGTAGGGATGTTCGTTGCAGCATTATGTGTAATAGCAAAAAATGCTGGGGTCAACCTAAATGTCCATCAATAGAGCGGCAACAGTGGGACATGATGTGGGATAAATTAAATATGCAGCCATTAAAAAGGCAAAAGCAATTTTGAATATAATATGATGAAAAGGTATCCAAGTTAAATTGTTAAGTGGGGAAAGAAATGCAAGTATGGAATAACATTTGTACTGTGATCCCATTTTTTTTTAAAAAAGAAAATTAAAACTGTATATGTATATACATATATGCATTTAAAAGTTTAACAATATGGGAGCCAACATGGCGGCATGAGTAGGACAGTGGGACTCTCCTCCCAAAAACATATATATTTTTGAAAATACAACAAATACAACTAATCCTAAAAGAGAGACAAGAAGACACAGGACAACAGCCAGACAACATCCACATGTGCAAGAGCCCAGCGCCTGATGAAAGGGGTAAGATACAAGCCCGGCCTGGTGGGACCCAAGCGCCCCTCACCCCAGCTCCCGGCGGGAGGAGAGGAGTCAGAGCAGAGAGGGAGAGGGAACCCAGGACTGCTAAACACCCAGCCCAAGCCATCCGGACCAGAGCGCAGACACAGTGCATGCGTGGGGTCCTGGATACTAGGGAAACAGGGCAGCAAGACCTCTGAGCGGGTTCCGAAGCTAATGCCCCTGTGACAAAGAAAAGCAAGTGCTTTTCGAAAGTCTTAAAGGGACAGGGATGCAACAGCTGGACAGAAACA